AGAAATCTCGAGCTCATAAATCTAATTGTTAGGTAGAAAGTGTTTGATTTTTTTTTTTTATCTTCGTTGTTTTCTAGTTGGCCCCGGCCATGTACTGATAGCTGCTTATGACGAGAGAACATGTTCACAGCTCAGAGATGTATGTAATTAACCTTTTTAGCCCAAACACGTTTTTTTAACCCTTGATACTGAGTACTTTACGTGATGGACTCCTGATCGAGCGGTCTGGGTTCGAGCCCTGGCTGGGGCATTGTGTTGTGTTCTTGGGCAAGACACTTTACTCTCACAGTGCCTCTCTCCACCCAGGTGTATAAATCTTTGGATTCTGGTGGGTTTAATACTGATTGGGGGGAGTAGGGGAGTTAGCCTTGTAACCTAGTAATAGTTTAATAGCATTCAATGGAATCCAGGGAAGGTAAAAATACTCGCAGTTGCTTCATGCAACAGACTGCGGAAATGAGAGTTGATAAACTGGTGAAGTTCAAAATTTCTGTTATTTTGTACTAAAATAAGAGGGGGGTTGTTTGTGTATCAATCATGTTTTTTATGCATCAATGTTGTTTCGTATCTCTTGTCAGTCACTTGTCTTCACCCCTTCCATTTTTGGTCGTCTCTTTATGTAGTATCTCTGTGATGGTGGTGAAGCTGTGCTTAAACGCCTTTACAACAAGCTGCTTAAGAATCCAACAACAGTGGCTGAAACTACTGGGACAGGTAATAATCGCATTCCCTCCAATTTTCCTCTTTGTTTTCTAGATAGAGCGCTTGTCAATTGAGTGTTGAAAGTTATCAGGCAATAGGCCACTTCCGAGTTGCCTTTGGCCTCTCTGTCTAAACGAGTCTTCGTGTGAAACCATTCATACGAAAATGCGTTCTACTTACAGGTTCATTTTCATGCAAATCAAACTCATTTTCGTACGAAAGATTTTGCGCGAGGACTCGAAGAAGCACAAGGTAACTCGTAAATGACCTGTTAGCTTGGTTTTGTTTTTGGTTTAACTACGGTTTGAGATTGGCTGAGTAGTCTTGGCTTTTTTTGTTCTTGATTTTACGACACTCTATAGACCTTTCCCGCATTCCAACAGACAATGGCGCCGAGTCGAGGTCAGAGTGGACAGAAATACAGCAAATGTATGAAAATGTCCACCCGAACCTCGCTCTGGTGCTATTGTTGGAACGCACTGAAGTGAAATGCGGGAAGGGTCTACTGAAAACCGCTCTAGCAGAGTATTATACACTTTTCTTTTCTTATAAGAAAAATGCTTTCTTACCCAGGCTAAACATTCTTATTTTTCTGCCGATTTTAGGCTGAAGGTATCCTTGTGAATATTCTTAGATTAAAGCCTGATGTGACGCACATAACTTCCTGCAGAAATGTTATTAGCATTGAACATACGGCTAGTGCTGTTTTTGTTGGTTTTTGGATAGGTTTTTCCACTTAGAGAAAGGAAGAATTTTGAACGGTTTAGTTAGAAACATATAATTGTATTGTATTTACAAATTTTCAACACTAAGAATCCAGGCGAAGGGGAAAGAGCCTGCCGGAGAACGAGGTTGTGTCACGTTAGTGGCTCTGGATCGTGACGCAATGCTTAGACCACCGCACACAACGTAACAATACTGTTTTCGTGACTTGTCTGTCGTTATTTTCTGTAGCTTCTTTCAGTGGTGAAACTGTGCGGAGTGATGCTGCTGCAGACATCGCTAACAAAACGGTAAGCTTACACAGAATTCTACTGTACCGCCCGCGAAAAATTTGAAGTTGTCTTGCCACCAAGATGTCTCGTGATTTATCGGCGGATTTTCTCAATGTTTAACGCCAATAAACCGTGTAAAACTTTTTGCTCTCTAAAAATTTTGACGACACTTACTAAACGCGTTAACGATTTAGCAACGATTTCAAACTGACTCGATTTGCTTTTGTCGCGCTTAAGTCATTTAAAGTCGTTTTGCAACACAGTGACAATACAACAGAGATACATTTGTATAATATTTAAAACATACTAACCTTTTTCTTCTCGGTCCATACTGCGAGTTAATTAAAGATCCTCGTTTTTTTCCCCTCTTCGGTTTAAAGGAGCTATGTCACGGTTTGCGCATATTGAAAAGTTTAACTTCAATTTTTCAAATTCGTCGTTTGTAATCCGTGTTAATCTTTTCCATCCTTAGCCATCCTTGTTCCTTTATGGGTTTATCATTATCTCTTTGGTGTTTTTTCTATCTTATTAAACTGTTATTTTCAGGTTTCCTACCATTTGAAGGTAATTTTGTATGTGGCCAAAATAACTCAAAATACTCTGAGCCTCTTTAAAGCCATTTAAAGAAATGAAGTTTAGTTCTTGTTGTTGTTGTTGTGTCATTGCATTTATGCCACTAAGTATTTCTTTTTTTCTAATCGAATATTCTGTTCCAATTTGCCAGGATTTACCATCATCGAGTAAACGGAAACCTAAAGCCAAGGCTGGGGGAAAAGGGAAAACGAAAGGGAAAGTTGCTGCGTCAAAGAAAACTGCTCGCACAGATGACTCAAACGATGGGTACGTTTTAGTTGTTGTTTTTCGTATCTTCTCGCGTTCGTTCGTTCTTTCGTTCTTTCGTTGGTTCGTTCGTACGTACGTGCGTACCTACGTACGTCCGTCCGCCCGTCCGTTCGTTCGTTCGTTCGTTCGTTCGTTCGTTCGTTCGTTCGTTCGTTCGTTCGTCCGTCCGTCCGTCCGTCCGTCCGTCCGTTCGTTCGTCCGTCCGTCCGTTCGTCCGTCCGTCCGTCCGTTCGTTTGTGCGTTCGTTCATACGTACGTACGTACGTATGTACGGTCGTTCGTTCATTCGCTCGCTCATCCTTTCGTTCGTTTCTTCATTCTTTCTTTCTTCCGTTTTTGACTTCCTTCATAAATTCCTTAATTTCTTTTCCCTTTTTTTTTTTAATTAGAACCAATGAACCGACAGCACAACCATTTAAAGGTGTGTTTCCATTTTTTTTTTTATGTTGCCTATGTATATCCCGTGTGAGATAGCAAGGAAATAATTTGCTTGTTGTATGTCATATTAAATGGAAATCACAAATTACCGTTTGCAGCAGGCAAGTGAAACCTTTTCGTGGTAACTGGTTCCCAAGCCCTGAGCAACTTGCCATGAATTCAGTTGCTCACATACAAAGCTAACCAGTACGTTTTTTTCCAAATTATTTTCTGTCCAATTTATGGGTATGTCGCTACCGCAAAATCACGATGGCGTCCTGATGATAATTGTCAGGACGCCATTGCGGATCAGACAAAGGAAGCTTAAGAAACCACGACGGCAACGCCGAGGGCAACGGCGATTAAAAAATGATTTTATATTTTAGCCACGAATCTCGCGGTATCCTAAAGTCATTTACTTTGTTTATCAGTGTCATAGCTATCTCGAAACTGAATCTATGACACATCGATGAATTCGAAATAAAAATTTTAAAAATTAGCTGCCGTGGTTTACGTTCTCCAGACAACGCAGAATTTGGTCATTCCACGTTGTTGTTTTGCAGAGGACAGCAAAGAAATCTACCAAGAATTACAACGCAGGCGCACAGCTATTGTTTTCCTCATTAAACCTGTTGTTTAGCGACGTTGCCGTTGCTGTTGCAGTTGTTTGAAGCTCCCTATTCAATATGCAAGGCGTACCCTACACTAGACTAGCACATAGAATTCCATAGATGAGTAGAAGCAATACTCCTTGTTATGAAAACATGATTGATCATTGCAGTACTGCGATTATCAATCATGTCTTCATATCTCTCTCCGCAGCTCAAATATACGATCTTTCATATATTTACTTGTAGTAGTCGTAGTTGTTAGTGTGGAATCCAGATTTGTCACAAAGTTTAAAAGTAGACGGCCCTCTTGTTGGAGTAGATGGGGAAATTTGTCATCATTTTGTAAAGCCTTACTCAAGGGGGAATTTCAAAACGGAGGTTTCACTCTGAAAACGCATCAAATGTTTTCCGTCCACACTACGCCGGCGGAATTAAAATCGCAACGATCACCGGTCATTTTGGATTTGTGTTTGAGGAAAACTTGGTCACGGAAATCACGTGATTATCGTGACGTCATCGTTTTCGAAAAGCTCTGTTTTCAAAATGTTTTCCGTCCACATGAAAACGAAAAGCCGGCGTTTTCAAATTCCACCGGTTTGAAGAGCATTCTCGAAAAGCTCCGTTTTCGTGACGGATTAGTGTGGACGGTAGACCAAACCGTAGAAATAAAGCTGCGTTTTCAAATTTCTCCGGCGCAATGTGGAGGCTGCGTAAGTCAACAGAGTACCCTGCTAAGGGCATAAAGAAGATGGTGATTTTTTTCATGTAACTTTCTATAGCTACTTTCGACAACAACAACAACAACTTTATTTGTACTCAGCTAAAAACTAAATGAACAAAAATAAGTTGAAATAAAAAGAGTACATGGCTGCCCGAAATAACTTTCGATTATTGGAAACCTAAAAACGTTCTAGTCGTGAAGGCGAATGTACTGTAGCTCAAGTGTAGAGTTGTGTTTGTGATTTCGACCGCATTTTAATTTCTTGTGTTTCTGTCTCTGAAAGGCTCAAGATCCAATGTTATCTTACGGGTAAGTCTGTGAGCAAGGGTGTTGGTAGGGGGGGGAGGTTCTGAGGTGCCCGTGATCCCCCCCCCCTTTGTAAGCTTGTCAGTTTAAACCAAACAACCTGCAAAAAGTAGCGAAAACGCCATGACGATATCTTGGCCATTGTTGAAAAGCCCACACAGTGTGACCCCCCCCCNTGATACATAAACAATAGCCTCCACTTGACGCGGAAATATGCTCGGATATTTGTCCGCGGACATTATCTGATCTAAGGAGCGACCAGTTTTCCGAGAGCGTAGCTCTCGGAAAACTGTGAGTGTTGAGGAACAGATAATTCCCAAGGACAAATATCCGAGAACATTTTTGCGCCAAATGGTGGCTACTGTGTTTATTATCCTTCAAATATTTTTCGCAGCACGCGCAGTTTTGAAAATTGGGGAATGTTCTCGGATATTCCTCAGTTTTAGCTGGGGAATATTTGGTCACGTGACGCGTTGAGACCAGTCGCGCGCGAGCGAAAATATTTGATGGATTGCGATAAACAACAACGAGCTCTTTTTTTTGATTTCACTCATAGCAAGGTGATGAGGCAAAGAATCCGCAAACAGAAGATGATTCCCATCCAGTAAAACTGCTGTCATCGCGTGTGATTGTCATTCATCCTTTGACGGGATGCAGGTAAACAGGGCAATCTTTGTTTACAATATTTACCTCATGAGCATAAGCGATTCAGTTTATGATCAAGCTACAAAAATATCAGATCTGAATATTGGAAGTGCATAGCACGATTAACTGTCCCGAGGAATTTTAGCGAGATGTGTTGAATACTTTTTGTGCGACGCGGGTTTGAAAACCATATTATAGCCTCAGAGTGAGAATTTGTAGGTATCCATCGATGAAGTTTGTTTTGAATGCTCTTTTTCTTCGGAGTCATTTTTGTGGTAGTGTCCCGTGAGGTGTACTGCAGTTTGTCAAAGCGTTTTCTTCCCTTTTGTTTGCTGTTAGTGATCGCTACAGTCTGTTGAGGACTCTCTGTGAGGTCGAACCACGTTATGTTGTGCTCTATGATGCACAGATGCAGTTTATACGTCAGCTAGAGGTTAGTTTTGTTCGTTAAGTTGTTCTCGGTTCGCATGTGCAGTTCCGCAGTTTTGTGAAGTGTTAACATTGTCATTCTCGTAGTAGAGAGGCCTGCGAAGTGGAGTAATGTTTCTTACGCAGAATTCCAAGTTGAGAATCATGGCGCCTTAGATCTAGCCTTTCCGGAGTCATTCATTTTGTTGCATTCTTTGGCAAGACAATTTAATACTCACACGGCGTCTCGTAAGTATACATGGGTATCGAAAAGTTGCCAGGGGCAGGTAGGGTGGGATGGGGGAAGGGAAAGGGGGGGCTTATCATGCTCTAAGAGAGAGTGGCAAAACTGCCAGCCGCTTCATGCGACAGGAACAGATTTAAGCGCAGTCCTGGTATGTCTTTAAGACAAATTTTACTAATCTTCCAGTATTTTGAGATAGCTACTAAGTAACCATTCATAGTTACCTCAACTTTTCCCTGAAAAAAGAACTCTATTGATTTCTTTGCCTTTACAGGTTTACAAGGCTTCAAGACCTGGAGTTCCTCTTCGGGTGTATTTCTTAATCTACACTGGCTCTGTCGAGGAACAGGTATGAACAAGTTTGATTAGAAGATATTCAGGTACTATTAGACAAGAGCCAGGGTTTTGAGGAAGTAGGGCTCAGTCGGTGTATCTTCTGAGCGTGGTCATACACGCTGAAAACTCAACAGAGTTTTTCTTTTCAAAAAAGAAGTGTTGTTTTATTTTTTTTACACACAGTATTATTTAAACAATGAAAAAAAGTCCAATAGAGTTAATGTGAGAGGAGCAAAAGATCGTGTGGATTCTCATGAAAATGTGGTTCAAATTCGCTGTGAACGCCCGAAAGAGGACGAGATGGGAAGATGTGCTTTTTTTTGGTTGTCCTGTTTTTTAAAGAGTCGTTATTGTTTTCAACTGCTTATTGTACACAAGCCAGCGGACGATCGAAGGAAATTTGCTGGTCTGTCAACGTTCGACCTGGCAGCAGGAACTTTTTGGAAAGATTTCTTGAAATACATGGTGTGCTATAGAATGATTGTGATTAAATGTGTCTGTCTTTGGGTTTTTCAGTTATGTTGCAGCGAGAAGCTGTCCGTTTTCTTTTGCTCTGTGTGTCAATGCATTTACTCTCTTTGTTGTTGTACCTCTGATGTCTCCATTCAATGTTAGGCCTGTCCTTCTAGTTTCGTGTGTTATCTTGACCTACTTTTGCCTGGCCTTTTTTCCTTGGACTCACGGTTCTTACTGATCATTTTTGCTATATTTTCATTATTACTTTAATTTTAAATAAAATTTAGAATTAGTTCTTGGTTATGATCATATGGCTGCTTTTTCGGTGTTAACCTCTTTTTTTTTTTTCTTTTTTTTTTTTTTTATCACATGGCTAGCTTCGCGAGCGTGCAACTGCAAGATAAACCAAGTTCTGAGCTGTGATTGGCAAGATATAGAGGCCATCTTGCCCCCTCGGGATTGCCCGCTCTATCCTGCCATCTTGACCTGACTTGGCAATAACCCATAGTTATTTCCGTTTCAGAAATACTTAACAACTCTTCGAAAAGAAAAAGAAGCATTTGAGGTGCTGATCAAAAACAAAGGAGTAAGTTCATGTTGTTCTGTTTTATTTTAACTTCCAACGTTTTGCAGAGCATATGTATAAGGAATAAACGAAAATGAGGAAAACAAATCATCATGTCTTAGGGAAATAGTGATGGAGGCAGCGTGGTCGAGTGGTCAGGTCGCCGGACTTGAAATCCGGAGGTCGCATTTTCAAGTCCCGCTCTGACCACTCAGCTGGAGTTGTTTCTCGCTAGACCCTGGTTCAACTCCTTGGTCGTCCTTGTAAAACAGCCAACTGGTCTGCCTCCCGTCAGTTTAGATTTATTATGCACTGATTAGGCTATGGACCCAAGAATTTCAAATTTCTATCTGCCCAAGTTTAGTTAGAAGAACTGTAATCTAAGTTGCAATAGTTATTGATGGTTTTATACTCTATTTTGTGTTTATTTGTCTGTTTATGTTTTTGTGTGTGTGCTTTCCCTTTGCCAGACCATGGTTGTCCCAGAGGAACGTGAAGGAAAGACAGGCGCAGCCATGATGTTGAGCCGAGACCCATCCAAGGCGACTGATGCTGTGAGCACCAGGAAAGCGGGAGCACAGGACGGACAAAATAAGGCATCTAGAAAGGTCTAGAAAAGGATTCTCTTTCCCATTTGAGCCACAAAAGTCACAATAAAGCTGAGTCGTTTTTAGAACATAACCTAAGAAAAACAGGAGGGAACATTTTAGACCCATTCAAACCACGTTTGGGTACTGGTAGGACATTGATAAATTGGACACGGGTTACGATTTTACCTTGGCCCAACTAACAATTCTAGTGCAGCGCAAAAAGGCCTTTAATGTACATTACCATTTTTGTTGGAGGCGCGTCGCCTCATAGTTAAAATGCTCACCTCCGGATCGAGTGTTCCGGATACAAGCACTGGCCGGGGTCATTGTGTTGTGTTCTTGGGCAAGACACTTTACTCTCACTGTGCCTCTCTCCACCCAGGTGTAGAAATGGGTACCGGTGAATTTAACGTTGGAGCGTAACCCTGCGGTGGACTAGCATTTCATCCAGGGGGGAGTAGAAATACTCCTAGTCGCTCGATGCTACAGAAACCGGAGATAAGAGCCGGGCTGATGGGCCAGCTGGCTCATATACAGACTTAGCCCACACCGTTTTTTATTGTTGTTGTAGGTCATTGTCGACATGCGTGAGTTTCGAAGTGAGCTTCCTTCTCTAATACATCGGAGAGGAATTGATGTAGAACCTGTCACGTTAGAGGTTGGTGCAAATCTTTGCTTGTGTTTTAAATGCCTAAGGGACTGTTTGCAAGGAGAGAGGATTACCTTAGCAAGCGGATTACCCTAGCTTACACACATTTCCTCTTGTTTTTGTTGTTGTCGTGTTTACAAGGCAGCCAGGGTCACTAGGGTAGGCGGGTTACCCTATCTGCGTGCTAGGGTAACTCTGGCAGGCGGGTTAACTTTTTCCCTTTTAAACAATCCAGGTAGGGTTAACCCGCCTACCCGAGTTAACTTTCTAATTGCTTCCAGACCCTTTGAGTGTAACCGCGTATTAAGTTGTCCCAGGTTGTAGGGCTACCCTACCTGTGAAAATTTGCTTGTAATCCCCAGCTATCTTTTGTCCTCTGGCTAGGGTTAACCCGCTTGCTAGGGTAACCCTTCATCCTTGTAAACAGGCCGTAACTTAGCCATCTTCCCTTTTTACATCACTCTGAGATATTTACTCAAAAAGGAAGACAGGTATCCCAATCTCATTGCGTGAGCGCCTTTGTGCGATATTGAGAAACAACGTTACATGATTAGGAGAAGTTTGTACGTGAATGTTACAGCGAATGTTACGAACGCATTCAGCAACTAGAGATACGGAAAAAGAATACGGTAAAAACGACATCCCCGCTTCCTTTGCGTTATTTCTTATGTTGCTGTGGAGGTTTAGACAATTTTAAACAGATTGTAACGGGTCGTAGCTCCTCTTTTGTCCACTCTATATATCTAAAACTTGCTGAAATCGCTTTAAAATTCATTAAGCAACGTCTTACGTAATATCTCAATTTGCTACATTTCCAAACACCAAGAAGAGTGTTGAAAATAAGGCGCACAGCGTAGTATTTTTGACGAACTTCGAGATGTTTGGAAATGTGGTCAAACACTGTCTCGAATGGTTGACATATCCCCTCACTCATAACTAAGGAGAAAACGGAGAAATGATTTCGTAAGAATCTATGCTAATTAGGATCAAATTTCCAAATTTAAACGTGACGAATTATTAATCATTTGAGAAATATGTGAGATCAATGAGTTCTAAAGTCGTAAGGAGCACATGGAAAGTAACATAACATGACTTAAGGTCATTCCACTGAAATAGAACCTGCACTGAAATTTTTGTGAAACTTTGCTTATTGATTGTTTATATGATAGGAACTTAAATTTTGAAATAAAAATGAGGGGTCCCCATGTTCGTTTAGGAGCAACAGCACCTTGTTTATACCCAATAAATCCTTGTAATAGCACTATGATTGTAGACACGATTGCTTGCTAAATTCACGTTTCCGGAGATTGTTTTGTGTTCTACACTGACAATTGGTCCATATTTATTTTACACAGAGAAATTTATTACTCAATTCAAAACGATAGGTCACCATACTCGTCTGCGAGAAAATGACTACGGCGAGGTCCAGCCGTAAAGAAAAAGCTGCCATTTTTAAATGCGCGCCCGCTAATCGCGCGTGTAATTCTGCGCAGTAGGGATGCGCAATTCAATACTGGGGAATGATCTATGAGATGGCCTGTGTATCCTTGATTTTAGTCCAACTATCGTTGAGGCTATGTTATTGATATTCCCAGGTAGGAGATTACATTCTCACTCCAGATATGTGTGTTGAACGAAAGAGCATCGGTGATTTAATAGGATCTCTAAACAATGGCAGGCTGTGAGTATTGTAATTGTACCTCGATCTCTTTTACAAATAGATTCCATCATATTAGGCTGGATGCTCTTTAAAGTGTCAAGTAACTGCTGGTTTGCTAAACGTTAAACAAACAAGCTACTAGCAGTCAGCCTCATATTTTAGTTTATCGTCGTAGTGTCACGCATCATTTGAGTTCTTTGCTCATTCCGACTGAAATGGACGCACGATTCAATATGCCTGCAATCTCAGCACTACATTACAATTTTTACTCTATACATGTAGTGTAAATGTAAAGTACAGCATTATGGATTTGAAAACTTAAAAGTTGCTTAGAAAAGACAGGCTGCTATTTAGTTAGTTGACAGCTATTTGATCCAGAAAAGGTCCATGACAAGAACATTCAAATACAATAACCAAGTTTGGGGGGACTGTTTGACGGTTCGGAGAGCGACAAAGGTACTTTATGGTCATCCCATAGCTTGTGCATGCGCCGAACCGGGAAACTTCCTTTAATAAAACACAAAAAAAGTCAATGTATTGTCCTGCGCGAATCCATTTTAAGTTAGTTACTTAACGGAAGTTTTACTGGCCACTGAACTTGATTTCCATTTATACATGTGGTTTATGAGTAGTTGTTGTGTTTTTAAGTTCGTTGGTTTTCGTTTTCAATCCCTGTTTCTTTAGGTACAACCAGGCTGTTTCAATGACTAGATTTTACAAAAGACCCATTCTCTTGATTGAATTCGACCCTAACAAGTCGTTTTCACTGCAGGTTAGTGTCCCTAAAGGTTCTGTTATTCTAGGCCATTTTTCTTGCAGTCTCTCTTGGATATTGCCAAAAGAAGAAATGGATTCTACTTTGTTCAACGCTTGCTGCAACAAAAACGTTGCAAGACATGTTCAGGAGGTGTTACACTACTCAACGTCTTGTGCAAATTGGTCTCAACGCCGCCGCACAAAATTTCGAGAGAAGTTGCAAGATATTTTTAGACATGGATTTTTCTGCATGAAGATGTGCAGTTTTCCTTCAACCGAAGCGGCTAAGTAGACGGTTACGCGAAAGCTACATATGCGTATCACGTCCTACCTTATTTTAAATATAAAATTTTAAACATTAAAAAGTAGTACTTTAATTCATAAATGTACACTGCGAGGAAATAAAGTATGTTGTTGTTGTTGTTGTTATGCTGTGTCTGATTCTTTCTTCAATTCCACGAACACGATTCATTTAAGAACACGTACCCTTTAAGAACTTGTTTTGAAGGGCAGGAGTTAAAATCCATAAAATTATCTTTCAAACTCTTTATTTCGCTCAACGTTTACCCATTTTGAATATGGTGGATTTTGCCGTGCAAAGATCTCTTCTGCAGTCATGTTAACACCGTAATCGCGAGAATGCGATAATAACGCGTGTGAAATAAAATATTTAAGTTTCACCTAGCGCTTCAATGGCCTATAATTTTGCATTCCTCTATTGCAGGCAAAATCTAGTTTGTCCAGTGAAGTTTCCGTTAATGACATCTCATCTAAGTTGACTCTACTTACACTTCATTTTCCAAAGGTAAGGAAATCTTCTGTGTCAATGTGGCCTCATGGTTAGGGCGCTCGAATCCAGATCGAAAGATGCGGTTTCGAGCCCTGGCCGGGGTCATTGCGCTATATTCGCGGGCAAGACACGTTACTCTCATTACATAGGGCCTTTGTTCACCCAGGTGTATAAATGGGTACCGAAACACTGTTAGGGTAACGTGGCAAAAATGCTGTTGGGATGGAGGGGGGGAGGAAGTTGCGATAAGGGATTGGGATGCCCTCTAGAGGGATCAGCAATAGTCCTAGTCGCACCATTCTCCCAGTCGCTTCATTCTAAATAATCTGATCGACCACTACAACTCGCAGCTTGCTTACGTGATTCACCGGTTAAAAAAACAGGATTAATTCCCGCACTGTGGCTAGCGAACACCTAAGAAAGTTTTATGATTAGTGATTGGTTAGGTATCAACGAATGAAATTAATGGACTGACTGACTGATTGATTGATTGATTGATTGATTGATTAAACGATTTGTTTTGATCATGATTGCCCTTCAGTTACGAATCTTGTGGTGCCATAGTCCTTATGCAACTGCAGAGTTATTCGATGATTTGAAGGTGAGTGTCGTGTAAGTTGCAGAATGTAAATACATTGCTTGTTTACATTACACTATAAATCCATTTTGTAATAAGTCCTTAAAAGGCCAAAATCAAACTTGAATTCAGCGCATGATTCACCTCAGACTGAAACCCTTGTATGTGACCATTCAAATGAAAACTATTAAGCAATACTTTTATGTGTATGGTGGCAGATGTTTGCCATACATATTTTTCGTTGTTTTAATATTTTCCAAAAGTAAAATCAAAATAAATTACTTAAATATGAATGGTAAACATCGGCCACCATACACGTGTTTATTTTCCTCCACCAGGCAAATAACCCGGAACCAGATGCTAACACAGCTATGGTGGTTGGATCTGACCCATCAGCAGCTGCCTCTGATGTCACGTACAACATTGGCCCGCAGGTTGGAAGATGCTGCAGTGAACTTCATATAGCTTTTTCTGTCTCTGTCCATGGACTGGGATGATGCGGGCGTGCCGTTCGTTTTTTTTTTTTTTTTTTTTTTTTGTGATGGATGGCAGCAAGTGTTGCTGGTGATGCTAATGGGGAGGGGGAGGGGAAGGGAAGAGGAATGGGAGGAGGGAGGGGAAGGAAGGGGAAGGTGAAGTCTGTCGAAGTGAGGAAGGAAGTCACTGCATGTCTTGAAGGGTATAAACGATCTGACAGAGCTTCTGGGCTTGAAAAACAGTAATATTTCTTTAGGCTAGCCAAAATAAATATAATCGGTGATCAGTTATTTTATTTGGTTCTCGCAATCTGAAGCTGGCCATGTCGTCCCAACAGCATTGTCTATGTTAATATGTAAAACATTGAATTTTATTTGGTTTTTAGATTTCCTCCTTGCAGTTTCTTTTGCTTCACGAGAAACATTTTTTATTGTTACTCTACCTCAGTTCACTTAAAAATCATCTTACACTGTGATTTGTAATTACAATTTTTTTTCTCTTGAAGGACTTTATTTTGAAGCTGCCCGGAATAACGTTCAAGAACTACAGGTACAATTTGCAAATGTAGAGGAATCCATGTAGAGGAAAAGAGGAATCCAAGCACATTTGAAATGTGCAATTACAGCAATATCGAAGTGCGTGTCACAGACCCGAAAGCAGTCAAAATGAAATCAGTTATTCAGTTTGGAAACTTTTCTCAACAAATCGTTCGAAGTAGAGAACTTTTTTTGTGGAGATATATAATGAAAGATAGTTAATTCTAAACTTGGTCGATAAATGTGAAAAATGAAACGTGAATTCACATGCGTGGGATAAAGAAAAATATCTGACTCCCTTACGGACCTCAAACCCATGACCTCTGTTCGGCGCCCTAGCCACTGAGCTACATAGAGACTAATGGTGAATGAGACCATTTGCTTAGTTATGACAGGCTTCCTGCTTACTGCTAGGAGCAGCAATGTCAAAAGTATCTTGTGCAGAGATAAATAATAAAAGATGGTAAATTTGAAGCTCTGCGAAGAAATGGGAAAGCTGAAATGTTTGGCATGTCACGAAAGTGAAAGGGACATATTTTTTCGCTTCTGTAACTGAATGTACATGTTTTTGTTTGTTTGTTTGTTTTTTTTCAGGTCTGTCATGAGAAACGTCGAGAGTATTCAAGAACTTTTCACGTTGTCGCAAGAAAGACTTGCTACTGTTTTAGGCAATGCTGGCAGCGCCAAGCAATTGTGGGAATTCATTCACAACGGTAACAAAGCTCAAACCTTGAAAGCACAAACGACTACCCAGCGAAACCGCCGGTAATCTATAACCAAATAGTTATAAAACGACAAAGCAAGAAAAAGATTTTCGTTTACTACATCATTCACTACGCGGTGGAAAAGAAGTGACAATGTCGTTGTGATGGTGAAAATTTGCTAATAGTTTATAATCAAAAGCAATTGATGCAATAAAAAGGCGCTTTTCAGGTCATACGACTGCGCTGTAAACCCCAATACCGAATATGCATTCTGTAATATTAAAACAGAATGAGTGTTCTGTAATTTTTGATGTTTATTTATAAGATGGGACCAATTGATTACCATATGTTTATTGTTTTTGAGCTTGAAAACAATAAAAATTGAATATCAAATATTCGTTTCACAAGTTCGATACAACAATCGTTGTTCGATACAATATTCGCGATCGATTTGCACTGACCTCTCATATTGTATCTATCACGTATAATCATCGAACATTCATCTTGAGAAATCGAAAACTCGCTTACCGTTGATCATAACAAGAGCTTGCTCCTAGAGCGTTCTCATTGACCAAGCTGTTACGTAATTTCCCGCGAGAATGGACAGCTGCATATCACAGGTCCGTTCTTGTGCACCTTACCCATATCTCAGATGAGAAGCAGAGGCAGTAGAATCATAAATCACTGTTGTCATGACAACCTTAATATCTCCACCTATTCATAGAGCGTTGAATCCAAGATGGCGGATATTTTCGATGTAAGTGACGTCATTGTCGCGCCATATTACATCATCTTTAGCACATTATTTAAGGACGTTTGCGCTAATTGTTTCTGCGCATCCTCACTACGCGCGCAAATTCACACGCGTCATGCATGAGAGCGCGCGCTAAGTCATAAAATGAACAATGATAGGGCAGATGGCCATTGCCATAGCTTTGCCTGGATTTAAAGATGTTGGACGTTCGGTGACCCCTATTTTTCTTTTGATGGATCATTTTCTCTACCGATTTTCCACGTTTAGCGAAAAAAATGAAGAAAATCTATGGACTAGAAGTTTCAATTTTTTTGCAAAATGCATCATCGAATTTCGTTCTTTTTAGCTGTTTGTTTATCTGTGCGCGTATCAAGAAAACCGGCTCAACATTGATAACAATAGGCATTGTTATAAGGCCTAAAATTGGTCTTGTATGGCCATTTTGAAACAATGGCGGTATAAGCTTCTAAATACCCGCGGGAGTTTTTGAAATTTCCGATTACCATACGAGCACGAAATTGAAACAATTAGAGAGACTGAATGGAAGACAAATTCTCCCGAGGGGAGATGGTACTGGTATAATCCTGTCGGTGTAAATAGTTGCGGTGAAGTGGCGGTTGTACGCATGTATTTAAAAGTGAAAGTAAAAGCTGCTGACAAGTAAGGCATGTTTTTGCTTTAAAATTGCTCTAACCTGGTAAAGTCAAAACGCGTGGGAGTGAAAGTGAAGTTCGCATTTGGCTAGATTGCGAACAGGCTCTCTTTTGCTCTAAAACCCATAAGATTAGTGTAGGATGAACGCGAAAATAGCGAGTGCGATAATCGAGCGGCAAAGCCGCTTGCTTCGCTTTCCCGCTGTTTCCGCGTTCGACCCACGGATTGAAAAGCGGGAGAAGAGACTGCTTTCAGTCGAGCATTCGGCCAGAAATTAATAGCTCTTAACAGCGCTTCGAAGCTCGCGCATCTTTCCTCGCCGACCAATTGATGTCCACAGTGATTTCCAGTGGAAAGAAATCAGGGAACAAACATCCCACTAATTAAAATTACAGACGCGATGTTTTGGGTAGCGTTTCTCCGCTCTTTAATAATTTACGCGTTACTCTCAACGTATCTTTTGTGAATCACGACTCCAAAGTTCAAGATTTGTTCACTAAAACTGAGTTCATTCAAGTGCAGCTTAATTGTTGTGCCGAAAGTTTTCCGAACAACGGCGACGATTTTGGCTTCGCTTCGGACGAAGTCCCTCAGGGCTACCAAGAACAAAAGGCCATTCATTTTTCCTCAGAGTGAGATGTTGAGCCGGAACAATAGACCATTTCTTGATACGCGTTTATCTGTGCGACTGTTTAAAATGCCTCTTGAAGGGTTAAGTTTTGTGAAAACGTTGGCAACATTTGGAGTTATTTACGCAACAGACTCACTTGCCTCTGTTGACTCACCTTCGATATTTTAAACTATAAACCCCTGTAGACCATGCTGAATTACGTGCGCCAATTTTTCAAAATCAGGGTAATTTTCTACACGCTTTATCTCTGAAACGAAGTCTCTAAACCCGAAATTTTTTTGCATTTCTGACACAAGGAACTCACTATCTCACTACAGTAAAAAATTCAAAAAAATCTATCGACTGGAAAATGTTCGCACCAACGTCCTTAAGTATCTTCAGGGCTGCTACGGGTCAAAAAATGGTCAGGGAAAAAGAAATTTTTGCCAGGTTAGGGAAAAGCCCAGGAGGGAATTTGATTTTGAGTCAGGGAAAATTGACATTTTGAAACAAAATCAAGGAAAATTCAAATAATTTAACACGACTAATGTAATATCGTTGAAGGTTGGAAGAAACACTTGGAGTCACTGCAATCTCAACGATGTTTTTCGTAAATGAAGAAGGGAATTAAAAAAAAAAAAACGTACCAATCTCAATGAATGGTTGGAAATGACGGCTGTAAGGGGAGGCCAGAAGCCGCTACTAGATCTGACACTTTTTCTTTAGTCAGGGAAATGCTATTTTTATCAGGGAAAAGTCAGGGAATTGTGCAAAGTGATGTTTGTGGAAACCATGACTATTGATCTTGCCAGATTAGCAAATCAAGGAATTTCTTTTTTTCGTGTAACTTGATTTGCCGATTAAATCAGTGACAAATCAAGCTGACAACAATGTTGTGATCACTTAAAAAGGGACACGCATCTATTTTAAAAATGAATTTTTATTAGCGCATTTCAGATGCCTATTCATTATTAAAAAGTAAAACTAAGATAAACTAAAACAATAAAAAAATAAATCAATAGCAAGGGTCTAGGAAAACAACCGCAGAACCTTTCGATACAGCAAATTCAAGCGTTGGTTACCTTTACCAAGATGGAGGCACGGAGTGAAAAAGTGCGCAACTAGATTTTAAAAAAGCACTCCAAATAGGGGATCCTAATTGGAAAAGCACCCGGAGTGCACAAGTGGGCCTCCTGGACAAAAGCGCCCTCGGAGTTCAAAAGTGGGGACATTAATTCAAAGAGCAACTTGAGTACAAGGTCTAAGAAGCTTTCAGAGTACAAAACTGGACACCCTGGTCGAAAAAAGGCCTTGAATTAGAAAACTGGGGATCCTAATTGGAAAACCACCCGGAGTACAAATTGGGGACTCGTTATTAGGAAAATACTTGCGTAAAAACGTTGGGCCCATGTCGAAAAAGCTCTGCTACCTAAAATTAAAATTTCTCTGTACAATACAGGAAGATATATGATTTAGAACTTTACTTATGGTGTTTATTCATAAATAGCCGTTATATAAAACTTTATAATTGGATCATCTCGACTTTGAGCCTTGTTCATAAAATTATAACATTATATATCTCTTTGTTACACTTTGTTGTCACCAAACTTCACAAGTGAACACAGGATCTTAACTTATAATTGGATCTTCTCGACTTTGAGCCTTGTGCATAAAATTATAACATTATATTTGTCTTTTGCCCCATTCACACTAACTAAACTAGTTTAACCAAATCAGGTTTAGAGTTTTCTAATTTGTTGATTACGC